GACTAAAACTGCTGGACATTCATCGACCCACGCCCTTCCCAATTCCCGTTAAAGTTATTCCTTGTGTGATCCACTTTGTTTAACTGTGGACTCCGCCCTGTACTTCCTTCCGACCAAATCGCCTGATCTTCACCACCCTGCAGCTTTGGTGACAAGTGCCAACGAATCGAGGGTATGCGTGTCACGGACGAATACATCTGTTGGGATGCACCTAACCAAGGTCAACCTGGCTGGTGGTCAACGGACACCAATCAGACTTGGGCACCGTATCATTCGAAAGGGGCCACTCCAGCTCGTATGCCATATCATGGGCAATGTGATGTGGAGATCCATTTGTGTTACTACGAACAAGGTGCGTAATGGTTTTCCGCACTAATGATATTCATTTCAAAAACAGTTCCTCACATTCAATCTCTAACTAACCGGGTTTTCAACTTTTTTCTTTCGTTTTAAAAAAGTGGCTATTTAGGATCATTTTTTGATTACTCATTTTAGAGTACAGCCCACAGTTTGTTCATTCAAAACCACGCAACACCAGAATCAGATTGCACTGTCATACCAGAATTCAGTAGTGTCACTGATTACCCTTCTACTACTAACTATGAATCAATTGTTTCATTAATTATGAGTTCGGGGATATCAAAGAAAGCCTTTACGGAAGACTTGACTTGATGGAACGCTTCCAGTTTGATTCAATATATGAATAACTGTGTTTCTATAGTTGCTTCCGCCAGGCCAAATGAACTTGGTTAGCTGTAACTAAAAACCATCTGAGTACAAACTGGTTGGTTCAGTAGTAACACACGGACCTCAGTTGCAACGGTTCCGTAATTTGAAGCCCGACCCGACCGGTACATATTTTATAAGCTCGAGTTTGGTCTATCCCCGAGGTCAAGGATGACTGGTGGAACTGAAGATTGTGTGCGAAATTAGAGTCTATGAACGGGCAATCAAACCAACAACACTTATCCAACACTGCCACTCACAAACAGCTTTGAGTTAAATGTGAAAGCTGTGGAACTTCCAAATCAACCTTGAATAGGTTGCGAATTTGAGTAATCAACACACAGGAAGCACGCACAATTACTCACAACTGAGCACGAAAAACGAGAGGCAGGACCTGGCCACCAACCCCGTTTTAATCGAATGGTTGTTCAATTGTCTGATCAATCAATGGCCGGAACTGATTCCCATCTTTCATAAATGTGTGATCGATAAATATGACTGTGGTGTCTGGAGAGTGAACTTCACGAAAACATGTCACTGTTCGCAAATCTCACTCAGGTCTGTCTAATCACACAGCCCCCTGGGAACCATTTCCAAATATAAAACGAGATATGATCAGAATACAGGGTTTTCGAGAACGGTACATAGTGAATAATACTCACGCGTGTCAACCAATTTGCATGTAGTCAGAAGCGCACATTCTCAATCCCCTTGCCTCACCCTCCGACCTTGTCGAGTATGTGTATATCCCAAGGCACACACACATAAGTGATTCTGACATTCCCTTAGATCGATGAATAATGTGTGCTTTACATCTGTTTTTTTTCTCCTTCGTCACAGAACTACCCGAAGAAGAGGAAGTTATCACAAGTAAGTTTTTCGTTTGATGTTGTAAAGGGTGATACCAAATTGCTGAAATGATTCTACAATGAACGCGAATGCGGCATGCACCTCTTGAGTTTCGAGTCTTCTGTTCAGTCTGCATTTTGGATGATCCACGATAGTCTGGATTTTTCGGTAGTCCCTTATACAATACCTGGTAAACTGGAGCAGATGAGAGTGATTTACTAAATTACAGTTGAGATTCATAGTAAGGCTCGGTAAGTAGATGCTTCCCGGTTTTCTTTATCTGAAACTTTAAAAAAAACGAGTTAACGACGTGTTTCCCTCAAACGCCCTTGAGTGGCTAAAATCGTTGAGGAAGAAAATGACTTTTTTAGACACTTTATTTGTTTTGCTGCATCAGGCCCGGAAATCGGATACTGAAAAGTACCCC